AAAAAAAAAAAAAAAAAGAAACAGTACTTTCTTTTTAGTAAGCTAACAGTCTGGCAAGGGAAGATGTATGCTTTATAAACTAAAAACTCAAACTGAAAGCAAAACTCCCAGACTCTGGTATTTGAGACATGGTCTCACTATGTAGCTCAGGCTGGCCTTCAACTTGCTATGTATCTTAGGATGACCTCAAACTCACATGATCCTCCTGCCTCAGCCTCCCGAGGGCTGGGATTACAGGTGTGCACCTCCACGTCCAGCCCAGAATTGGTAATTTTATCTTAAGAATTGAAAGGGTTTTTATATCATCCTAGCTGGCTCATGGCCCTCTGCCTACATGAGCCAACTCCTCAATACTAGACACTTTGGTGAGCTTTTCTATTTTTCTAGTCTTACCTTCTCTCTTTCACGATCAATTAAGGAAAACAAGTACTCAAAACTTCGTGGGATTACTCCTCTCAAATTATGAGAAAAATTATCAGATTCAGATGGTCCTAAAAAAAGGAAAATAAAAAGCCTGTTTTTACGCTATCCCAGCGCCTCCAGAACAGCAGCCCTGAAAGGCAATTTGTAAGTTTACACAGAAATGCAACCATACACTGTCCTGCCTCCGATGGGCTGAGTGCAAGTTTGCAGAGCCGGCATTTGAGGCTCCCTGTGGAGGGGACAGGCACTCCCAGAAGCCACTCACAGAACAGCAGCCGCTGCCTGAGAAGCCAACCAACAGTCCCTCCAGGAACCAAGCCTGACTTCTGTCCAACAGTCAGGTGCAGAAACCCGCAGAAATAGCAACCTCCTCCCACGTGGCAGCGGCTTCCCTGGGCGGATCTGCGCTCCAGGCTACAGCCGCGTGCATTCTCCAGGGTGAGGCGAGGTGAGTAACGGCAATCTGCAGCAGCAGCACTGCTGAGAACCTGTTTCCTGATCGCCCAGCATGTGCCAGCACCAGGACACGCTAACCTTCAAGCATCAGGCATGATTAAACCCAGTGTGGTAGTGCACACTGTAATCCTGGCCCTCTGGGAGGCCGAGGCAGGAGGATCACAAATTCAAGCCCCACCTCAGCAACTCAGCAAGAAACCCATCTCAATAATAACAATAATAATGAAGTAAAATTTAAAAAGGGCTGGGGATACGCAAAGACACTGCCCCAAAAGAGCCTGCTTGCTATCCAGGATCTCACCACTTGGCAGAATCCTGAGCATGACCCAGGTTTATGAGATCGCTGGCTCACATGGAAGTTATAGTATCCCCCAAGATGTACAGCATGTTGTCATCAGGAAGAATTATTTAGCCAAAAACGTTCATCTTTAACTAACTTACCCATCATGGTAAATGTCTTCCCTGAGCCAGTCTGTCCACTGTAAAAAAGAACATCTTATATATTATTTTTACACATAAAATTTAGTAAGAAGGCTAACTTTCTTATTTTAATATTTGTACAAAATTTCCACACAGAAAATTATTCTATTTTAAAATTTCTTTATGTAAAAAGTGAATGGTTGAGGGCCTGGCCCTAGCTCAGTCCTTTAAGTGGCTGCTTCCACAAAGCTGTCAGCCTCAGGTTGCTGGAGTTCAAACCTCACAACTCTCCCGCT